AACACTATTATCTCCATAGTTTGCCACTACCAAATCTAGTTTACCATCATTGTTGAGATCATGATATGTCATAGAGACTGGTATCGCACCAACACTATAAGTCTGCAGATTCTTAAAAGTTCCATTTCCATATCCAACTGCCACACTGATAGTGTTATCACCTTGATTGATGACAGCCCAATCCAATTTTCCATCCTGATTAAAGTCACCTGATATGACATAGACAGGTTTCGAGCCAACATCGTAGTCTATTTGAATATCAGAAAATATATCTTCCTCATCACCTAACACCAAGCTAACCGTGTCATCGTCAGAGTTCGCTACTAATACATCTATTAGCGTATCATTGTTAAAATCACCTGCTGTCAGTGACACTGGATTGTTGCCAACAGAATATTCGATTGAAGTCTGAAACGTATCGTCTTCATTGTCAAGCAGAACGCTAATGGTGTTCTCATCTTCATTCACTACTATAATATCCATGAATCCATCATGATTTAGATCAACATTGAACACTGCATTTGGTGCGAAATCTGTCTTATAATGTGCTTCAGTCATAAAGTCATTTTCTCCATTGCCAAGAATTATATCGACAGTTCGATCAATATAGTTGAGCAGCGCCAAATCGACTTGGTTAGCATTTTTAAAATGTCCAAACACTATAGCAACGGGTAATTTCCCAGTCTCAGACGTCATTGGTGATGGATAGGGGTCCTCGCATTGATATACTAAAACAAACCGATTCAAAGTTATTGATAGTTTTCATTGTTATTGTTGCGAGCTGTTCAATTTTATACGCGATAATTCAGCCATTGAACAATATGACAACATGAACGTAGAAATCAAAATTTACAAGACTTCATCTAGCTCGAATCTTATTCAAGGAAATAATATTCCATTTCACTTATCTGCAAAATTGTTACAACTGTTACTAGGTATTTAAAACTCTAGTTTCTAATAAACTGAGCTCAATATGATATCTTTTCCATATTTTCACATGGAAAATTTCATATTTTACGGTCATCTAAGGCAAACAAAACTTTCGATTTCTTCCATAACATACTATTAGATTCCTCCATAAATAGCACAAATATGTGACTATTTTAAACTTCTATAAGAGAGTTGTGAATGAGAACCTCAAAAGCATCGTATAAAAGAACTCCAGTATAATCGGTGGGCATGGATGCATAATAGTGTAGATGGACGAAGGTGTCGGACATTGACTGAGCAGTGGAGAGTTTTGGTTCAAATGCGGATTCAGGAGCAATTGGCAAGGTTATGCGTGTGTTGAATGGGTCGGACATTAACATACGTAAGTGGTCGACTGTCCGTGTGTATGCCGAGCATCCACATCCATAATGTCAACATTCACACACATTCACTTGCATAACTAGGGTAGGTAGGGGTGTGTGAAGAGAAGAGTCACTCCAACATCAACAACCACATCCACACTGACACTCATACTTACATCTTCATTGGCTACATCTCTAGGTTCGATTCTCCTTATGGCTTTCTTCTTCATAAAAAGCTGAACAGAATAACATGCTCTCCTGAGCTAGTATTTTCGTTTATTATTTTGCATCGATCTTTTAGATGTACGTTGTCCTCAGAAAATCCTAATCGTAAACAACTGTTTCATCCTCAAAGGATTAAAATGTAGCACAGCTATCAGTTCAACATTATCACAACTTGGTCAAAGCTGTATGAGAGTAAATCTCTCATATGCATTTTCGGGCAAGCCCTCATTTAAAAGTTAAATGATGAAGAATTGTGGTGCACTATAATTCGATTGAAAATCGAAAGCTTTTCACAGTATAGGAACCCGAAATGACTAAGGACCATTTTTCAGGTGTCATTTTCGTCAGATTTCTTCAGAAAATGATTTAATGAGTACCTTTGCACAATGTACTTATTCATTATAAAGAACTTGACTCTAAAATCATCTTGCTCATATACGGCAGTTTCTGTCACGTTTGATAAACTGAACTTATGCATTCTTTGAGCTTTTCTGATCCGAAAAAAGTATTTTCTCAAAGAGAAGTGTAAATTAATTCAATGTGAAAATGGTACTGTAGATCAAGTCAGGAGCATGATTGAACTTCTGGCGTGCAGTTCTCCCATTGAATTAGCTATTTTATTTGTTGACGACAAAGTAGTGCTTACAATTAGGATTCTCTGGTTCTGGTGCGGTTCAAAAAGCATCAACGGAAAATAAGGAAAAATGACACTAATTAGTGCAGATGAGTTAATACTCCTCCATAACGCTAAGAGCCTTCATTTCAACTTGAAATTCAAATTTTTAAACACAGCAAAAGTGCTGTCTTATTTTTTTTGTTTATAAAACATATACACTTCTGGCTATTGCTATAAAACTATATCAATATCTTCTCACTCTTAGTCAGGAATTCGTCCTAATGTCAACTTTAACTTAACTGTGACAGTCCTAGATGTGGCATCAATGTCCTAAAATTCAATTTTTCAGATATCCACTGTCTGCTATGACTTTAGAATATGAGTTGATCAGAATAATGTAGTTAGAGTTATGAAAGAAACTTTCCTTACAACATGTGAGAGGAACATTTTTTTCCGAGATGTTCCCATCCAGAACGTAGAAACGCATTTCTATGATATAATAATAGTTTTCATGACACCAGGGTTGTTACAAACATCCAGGAAAGAAAATGAAGTCTATGCAATTCAGATAACAGAAAGTGTTTGTATATATCTATAATTTGAATGGCTAAGTGTGATTTAAGCTCCCTCATATATTTATCACTTATCCAATACAAATGATAGCTTTCGGATTCAACTTGAACTTTGCTTTTAGTAATTATTAGAATATCTTCCGAGTTTGTCAAGATGAACTTTTGTAAGAACTGAATACTAGTTCAGTTGATTTATACAGAGGATGGCAAAATTGGAGAACCCCCTGCACTCCATGTAAAAAATGTAACTTTTCTTTTTGAGGAAAGGTCTGTTTGCCCAATATATATGTTTCGTAGAAACATGGATATATATGATATACTGATATGCCTTTATTCTTTCCTTTCTTCTTTTGATTTCATTCAAAATCAACTTTCTCACTTTCTATTCACTGTAACAAACTTTGTCCAATTTCATTAAAAAAATAATGGGACGAAAAGCTGTTGATAGTGCTATAAAAAGAAGCATTATTGTTCTACGCGATAGTGGTATGTCTCAACATGAAATTTCTCGAAAATTAAAAATTTTTCGGCATTGTGTTCAACAAACTATTCGCAAATTTAATGAACTTCACACACTAGCTATAAAATCTGGAGCTGGACATCATTCGAAACTAACGGATCGTCAAAAACGAGCAGTTAAATTACAACAAGTTCGCGATGACACTCTTTCCTTGACTGATCTTGTCCGGTACGTTCAAACAAGTCTCAACCTAACTGTCAGTCGTCGAACAGTGAGCCGTATCCTACATGAATTCGACATGATTTCCTATATTGCACCAAGAAAGCCTCGGATCAACTATAGACAAAGGTGTGCTCGACTTCGTTGGCGCTACCAACACTTGACTTGGACTGGAAAAGATTGGTTAAATGTCATATTTACTGATGAAAGTAATTTTGAAATATTGAATCGAAAGAATCAGATATATCATATATATGTAGATTTCGAAATGATTTAAAACGATTTGAACGTTCTCAACAACGAGTCCATAGAGGTGGTGGTGTTGGTATTTGGTCTTATCTAACATGTCATGGTCTATGACCGCTCGTTTTCTACGATAGGTCGTTAAATCCAGATCAATATATTGACATACTCGACAAGCATTTACCAACAGCATTTGAAAAATTTCTACCACATTCATCTCATGAAATTTTACTTCAACAAGATAATGCTCGTCCTCATGTATCAATTAAAACGCGAAAATATTTTAAGAAAAAACATCTTCATCCTATTCCATGGCGAGCAAATAGTACTGATTTAAATTTAATAGAGAATATTTGGTCTATGCTCGATGATAAACTTCTTAAGTTTAATATTAATAACACTGAACAATTGAAAACCGCAATGCAAATGGCATGGCTGGAGATCTCAAATGATACAGTACGAAAACTCTTTGAATCCATGCCAAAAAGAATCCAACAAGTGATCAATCGTCGAGGTTTTGCTTATCGATATGAGTCTTTCTATGTATTAAAAAGAAATATGTATCAAAAATAAAAAGAAGAAAAAAAGAATCGAACGGGTTCTATAATTATGCCACAGCACTTTTTTCTCTCTATCGATTTCTGCACGTGCATAAAAGAAGAAAAGAAAGAATAAAGGCGTATCAGTGCATCATATATATCCATGTCTCTACCAAACATATATATTCGGCAGACAGACCTCCCCTCAAAATGAAAAGTTAGATTTTTTACATTGAGTGTAGGGGGTTCTATAATTTTGCCATCCTCTGTATATATTTCACCGAGTGTCTTTTGATGCACACTCAATAAAACTGGCACTAGGTAAAGTATGGGATATTCTTTTGAATGCAAATGGAAGAAATATCAAAGAAAAAGCATACTTGACGTGTGAGCTTGTTTTCGTGACCCAAGAACAGAACCAATAATGATTCCTGCAATCGATAATATTATCAATAAAAACAGTGGCACAACAAATCGCTTGTTTTTATACCAAGAACGTCTGAAAAATATAATTAGAAGCCTTCATATCGGAAACACGTTTAGATAAACACAAAATGAAACTCACTTTGCTTCTGGATATAAGTGTGCACCTAAAAAAGATAAAGTTTGACATTTAGAATATGGACCTGAAATCTTGGAAGTTACCTTCGAAAGGAGGCTCCAGTAAGGTTTGTTCTGGTATGACTTGTTTCAAATGAATGATATAGAGATCAGATGCTGGACTCAATTGTGATTGCACTATCATATGAGTACCGGGTAGAAGAAGAATTTCTTCTTCTGTAACGAAATGTGAATGGGCACGTATTGTTCGTCCATTGATGGCTTCAACAGAATATAGCGTTCTCGCACCTGTAGTACCCAAATACATGTTATTCTCCAATACAGATAGCGATGTCGTACATGAAGAAAATGACCACCATGTCATTGGAGTACCAGGTGGAAATTCTGCAGTCAATTTTTTTGTAACTCCTCGCCAAACAGTCAATGGTGGAACACACGGAAGTCTGACCAGTGCTGTCAAGAATAGTTTCATATACTTAAAATAGGGTCGAAGTTCTTCACGATTTGTGCTTTTTAGAGTGTGATTGAGCATTGAATATAAGCTTCGATGTGGTCGTTCCCATTCGATCGTATATAGACGAATTGCAGCGCTCTCATCAACTGTCAAGCCATCGGGTGGACTTTCTGGAGTTTCATCTAGTGCCAGCTGCACATAGACCGATAAGTTATTAATAATATCGATCAGTGGAGCACATGCTTCAGCAAGTGGCAGCAAAGGCTCCTCAGCATATCCAACAATAGGAGAAATATCCATGTCGATCTTATTCATTTCGCTGAAAATTTGCTGATTATTGTCTACGATAATATCTCCTGCAACTTGATAACTTTCAGTGGTTTGTTGATCAGTCGTAACACGACCGTCCTCAATTACTTCTACTCTTTGTTTTTGATTGTCATCAAATTGCTCTTCATTAAAATCCACTTGTTGTGCATCATATGCATATGATACTTGATTTGCAATCTTGCTATCTTTATTCATGACTTTTATCTCACACTTGGTCTCGTAATCGTCATGCAAAGTTACTGCATGGCCATTTTGCATTTTGGTCTCTTCTTGGGTTATGCTTCCATGAAGATTCGTGTTTATAGCATCCAACATTATCATTGTTTGTTGATTCGACCTGCTGACACTTTTTTTTGATCGTTTTTTTTTCTTCTTCGATTTATGCATCTCCTTATTCGTCGATGAGTAGTCGTCCTTAAAAGTGGAAAGTACATTATTTTCATTCGTAATAACAGTAAATAATATGTGAAACAAAAGTTTTACATTAAGTTTTCTCTTCTGTTTCATTTTAAACTCTTCTAAAGAGTTTTAGTTTTTTCCGATGAGCCACTTTTCTGACCAATATGTGAATTTTTTTCTTGCTTCAAATTTCTCAATTGTTTGTTTCAGATTCAGCGTGAAAAACTGTATGCAGAAAAAATCGTTTATGAAACTGTTAAGATATAATACAATCATAATCCAGGTATCACAAGAGTGAAAGGACCCAAATTTTGAACAAATATTTTATAATGCTATTTAGGTTTTTTTCATAAAACAATACAATTGAATTTCACATCTCTTTAGAACTGTTAGAGATTGGTCGCCAAAAAATATAGTTGGAGTCTTTCGAGAGTTTATTCAGTTGCTGAGAAAATTCGTTTTTATTGAAATCTATGCCAGAACCAACCTTCTCTGGACCGAGAGATGAAACCAGTACCGATACGAATTTCAGACCGGTCGATCTCGTCCGGTCTGACCTTTTCAGACTAGTTTCGTCTGTGTATCAGGTGTATGATACAACTTGGTACATCAAGTTTGTCACGCGATAAACCAAATTTTTCATATCTAAAGTACTCTTTTTCTAGAACTGTGAATAATTGATACATCAATCATAATCAATAGGTCGGTCGGTTCGGTCTGATTTTTCAGACCGGTATCGATCATCAAAAATTCACCCAGATTTCATATCTGTCTGAACCTATATCTGCCTGTTTTCCTGAATTTATCTCTGTTGTATTCGAAACAAAAATGTATTCGAGATCAACGCAAAAGACTGAATCTATATGTCGATATTTCAAAGGATTCTTACAACTTTTATTTTTCTCCAAAATTTTCCCCTGATCCGCCTCAGTATTTGGTAGAAAAGTCAACGTACGCAAAATGTCGGTGTAAAGCACGCCGCTCATTCGCAGTCTTCTTTGCATAGTTAGACTAGCATTTTGAACAAATTGATGCTTTTACCTAAATCTGACGCGTATCAGAGAAAACTTTTTGGAAGAAAACAAAAGTTGTAAAAATCCTTTCAAACATTTATACATCGGCTAACTTTTCTGTGCTGATCCCAAATATATGTTGTTTTTTTTTAGTGCAAAACTAGTAAATGCAGGGAAAATAGTTAGATATAAGGTCAAAAAGGGTTCGTCTGACATAAATTTCAACAAAAATGAGTTTTCTCAACAAGTGAATAAAATCTCGAAAAACTCGAGCTATATTTTTCAAGTACAAATCCTAGCAGTTATATTGAGATGTAAAAGTCAGTTGTATCTCTTTGAAGAAAAAATAAATAAATAGCATTACAAAATGCTTGTCCTGAAATGTGGACTGCTCCACTCTTGTGGTAGCTAAATTATGATCATGTTACATCTGAATAGCCTTATAAATGAATTTGCTGAATTCAGTTTTTCACGCTGAATCTGAAGCAAACAAAAAAATTGATGCTTTTTTTCAAGGAAATAAATCATCAGAAAAACTGAAATTTTTCGTCTAAAAGCTCATTCCAAAAAAAAAAAACTAAAAAGCATCTATATTGTTAATTAGCTTGTCATACTCTATGTAATAATATATAAAAAGAAGAAAAAAAAGTTTTTCTTTAATTTTGAATTTTCAGCACCTTACTTTGCTTGTATTCTTATAGTTTAATTGTAATTCCACTGAAAATTATCGAAAAAAACAGGTCAAAATATCTTGAAATCGGCCACATTGCTTCCTTTATTCATTGCCAAACCTTTGCTCATAACAGGAGTGAACATTAATGAACCCAAATAAATGGACAGATAGCTCATTTCAAACTCTTAATCTATCAATAATCGTTTTTGTTTGAAATGTTTAGATTTAGTTTGTGGCAATAAAAAAAAAATATTTTTCGACACCAAAATGAATCAAAATTAAGTATTTGTTGGTTACTATTATTGCCATCTCGACAACTGTTTATATATGCCCTGTAACATGTTTCATCTTGAAACATTTAAAATGACTTTATAGAAAATCGTGCAAGTATTTTATTGCACATTGTTCAATAATAAACGAGTGACGATTACTCATTAACCTTTATAAATATATATCTACTTGACGTCCTCTTTTGTCTTTCTTTTCTATCTGTTCTTATTCAAATTTTGTCTTTACTCACCATAGTAGCTCGTCTTGTTTTTTCTTCGTAAGTTTAAGAACATTTTTTCCTGCACATATTTTAAAAAAGAAAAAGATTGTTTTGAATTTTCTTTCGTCTTCTCATTGCATAAATTCTCTAATTTTATTTAATAAACTATTCATTGATTTTTCCTTCGTAGGATTCAAAGATTATATCCTATCTAACTGAGATAGAGTCGATTGCCTCTAAATTAGCGAGTAATTTCTTGTGAAAAGCATATTTGCCAACGCAATAGAAAGAAGGATGCTCACTTCGTGCTTACTAAAGACTATTCTTTAGTGATCAATAATCAATGCATGTTTCATTTATACTTTCTATTGTTTTTTTTTTATTATTTTTGCAGGTTATGTTTAGTCTTTTTTTATTAGTTTTATCACTAGTTTGTAACTTATATTATAACATGAAAGTATACTTACGATCTCATTCATGCTGAACTGTTTAAATGTTAACTTCTTGTTAATCACAATCGGCTTTGATACGATTTTGCCTTAACGAAATGATCTGTTTTTTTCTTATTTTTGCTTTCGTATGATTATCAATGAAGCGTGAAAGTTTCACGATGAAAAACAGTTTTGGAGCAAAGATACAAATGTAACGGTAAACATGCTGTTATCGCTTTCTGTTCTTTTCGTTCGTCTTTCATATTTTTTCTTCCTTTCTTTTGTTTTTATTTTCATTATAGAGAGAAAATGTGTATTGATATTAGTAGACTCAAACGCATGATAATCGATTCTCAAAACGACATAGATGGATATAGTCATTTCTTTTCGAATTTGAATAGCTAGAAAGAATCAGTAATAGTTTTTGGATCGATTCATGCTACTTAGACATCTCCCTGAAATATTGAAAAAAATCACTTTATGAGTCATTGTACGATAAGGACGATTTATTCTGGTCAATTAACATTACAGATTTGAACTCACCTTTGGTTTTATGTAACTCCATGTGAGATGTGAAAACACCAAAACCTTCAGCTTCTACAATCATTCCCTTGTTGAAGTATTAAATCTACGACAGAAAGCACCCTAAGATAAAAAATGAGAATAATCACTGTAGTGCCAATGTATTGTATACGTCACTATTATTCAACAATGATGTTTCTAGTCATGGTATTTAGCGAGTCGATATTACAGTAGGTATTCTACACATTGACATACTTAGAGCCACGTTTTTGAGTGTTATGTCCTTCAGTGGTATTTCATAGGTTCTGGATATACTCTCTACCTTGTGAGTTGGATTTCTATCGCTTCTGAGTGACCTATGAGCATCTGCGCTGAAACTAAGTACTACTGAGTCCTGGCTAGAATCAACAATTTTCAGAACATTGGGCTTTTGAATTTGACCCGAGTAAAAACTCTTTTCTGCTATATATATGAGCTAATTTGAGTAAAATTACGATTCACTTTCAAAAAAGCTGCTCAGTCGACGATTGCCGATTTGGCTAACTTGTATATATGTCTATAGAAGAAAGTATTTGATGAATTTCTATTGAATCCGTCTAAAAGGACATTGCTTAATTCTCGAAATATTCAAATTGCTTTTGGGAGCATGATCATCACATAAAACACATGTATTTTTGCAGTTTTTTTGTGACAGTCACAATCTCATCAAGAATGCATTCTATGGACTTGAAATTTTTACTGTGCAGCCATCTGATGTTCAAGTACTTTACGTAAAAGTATGAGTTAAAATGAATGGACTGTTGGTGTGGAGTGTGAGTGTTTTCAAAGAGAAGGCCTACATCCACATCCTAAAATATATCGGTCATTCTGAAATCTTCTGCAGCTGTCAAACGATCAGTGAAAGAATCGAAATCGTTATGCGACAAAAAAAACCTTGTCACTCGAAGTTTAATGCGAATTTGGAATACGTTATTCTACTTGAAAAATATTTTGGAAAAAAAGGGCTGTGTCAACACTTATCCTCTGTTTGAATCAAACCATTTGTTTTTGTGTCTCTGCTACTTGAAAAATTGAGATGTCTAGTAAAGAAATAGTGGAAATAAAAAGTAAAACGGTAACATTCAGACAAAAAGAATAAACTACAATAGAAGAAGCAAACAAAAAAATTTAAGAAGTTTCATGAAAGGCTTCATGATCACGGTCAGTACGCATGCATCAGACATCTATCGTTTACGGATAGCGATCAATATGTTTATTTAATTGACGATCGATACTATATAGCCGCAGATTTCAGATCATTGATTTGGTTTCTCAATGCCATTTTATCGCTCGTCATGAGGACATCACAGTTTGAAGTAATTTTATTTGAAAAATGGTTTCGTGAGTTATCTTGTATCTTAAATTTAAACCAATCTTCTATATATTTTAGCTTCTTGAAGATATTGACATGTTGCACAGAGAAATCGTTGAAATAAAAAATCAAACAAAACAGCAAGGAAAAGATGAAAACACAAATGAAGATACTTAACAAAAAGAAAAAGAAGAAACAACCAAAGAAAGCTTGCTTTTAGATTTAAAAAAAATTATATGATATAATTCATCAAAATGGTATTTATGCTCGTATTGAACATATATCGTTCACAGCTAATGATTAGTGTTCGTGTTGA